TGTACTTAATGCCAATGCACAATTCTAAACACACTCTGCCCCTAATTTCATTCTCAGGGCCTTTCCTTTGTGCTGTCACTTCATAAATAATTTTGAACTAAGTAAAATTCTGAACGGATTTATTAATATATGTATTTCATCTGTTCTGTGTTAATTTTCATAACATACATAACATTGAATTTTTGGAATTCACATTGGGTTGATGTGCTATAATTTCCTTCCCAAAGAATATATGAGTATGTATGCTGAAACACATTTCCCTTACCTTGCCATTTCTTCCAGTAATTCTGCTTGTTTTGAACATATCCAGAAAATATCTTAAGTTCAGATTATGGCCTTCTGTGTTGTTTTGTAGGTGACTATGAATGTTTCAAGGGAACATAGTGCCTCCACTTTAGGGTTCAAGTGAGTGGGTGAGAATGCAGTTCAGTTACGTACATCGGTTGACATGGATGACACTCACTCAGAGCCATAGATTACAGAGAAACGATGAAAACCCATCCCAGTCAATAGATGCACAGAACAAGAACCGAGAGAGAGAGAGAGAGAGAGAGAGAATGAACTTTTAGGGGGCAACGCAGAAAACAAAATAAGAAAATCCTTTTTAAAAAGAGCCGCTCTACCTTGGTAAATGGCCTACAGACTGGATGGCTAGGTTCAATTGCCAGCAGTGACAAGATATTTTTCTTCTCCCTAGTGTCCAGACTGCCTCTGGGGCGCACCCAACCTCCTATCCAATGAGTACTAGGGCCTCTTACCCACGAATAAAGCAGCCAGAGCATGAACCTGACCACTCAGCTAAATCTACTGCCAAGGTCAAGAATGATGGAGCTGTACCTCCTTCGCTTCTTAAGTCTTCATGGCGTGCCATTAATTAAGGAAAGTGACAACTTTATTTTTACAGCCCTTTTAAGTCTTATAGTTTATTGCACACCCTGAAAGTGTTCGTACTGCTACCCAGGAAGCATCTGCCAGTAACACTGGAGGCTGTAGTGAAGCAATGTTCTGCATCCCAATGAATATAAACATGTCTGCTTTAATATTTCATTTCATTTAATTTATTCACCTTCCATAAATCCTCTCGAGCACACCTTCTCATGCGGATGTGGAGATCGTCCTAGTTACAGTCACAACTAAGAATTACAGTATTTAATCAAGTATACCTGTAACTGTAGTAGGACCTACAGGAAGAATACAAGAAGCTATGCTGTGATTCAATCACAGTGAAATTATCATGTGCTGCCAAATGAAGCTTATGCAAGGAAACGTATCATAAATACATCTACACAAACATTTTTGTATCAGGTTCATTTATCTATTACATCAATACATTTATTACAATATAATAATAGTCATGGTTACATCAAGTGGGTGACAATCTATTTTACATACAAAATATTTCAATCTTTAAGCAATTATGTTAAGATATTTAATGCTAATATAATATTTGGTATTTCATATGAGCCTAGAAGCTACAGTTACTGATTGTATGAGGCTTCATTTTTGTTTCCCTCTCAGTCTACAGGGCAGGAACAAGGCATGGAGAGAAGCCAGGATAGCAGCTCTAGTTCTCTGTTCTGTAACCTCTCAGAGAGAATTGTACCAATCATATATCATCTGCTTTTCATACATTTTGTGCCAGGTAGCAAGGTGTTTCCAATTAAAGAAAAAGACACCAGGGATTCCTAGACCTTATATACTACCTACAGACAAGCCAATATAAATATGTACTTCTTGAAGTATACAAGACAAAGCCATTAGCACAATGTTCATTCAGAAATGCAATGGAAAAAGTGCTGATGGCTGGAGTGACTCTAGGACTAACTTAAGGAGGCAGAACAATGCCAAGATATCTGGAATTGTAAGAAAATGAGTTAAGGTCATTACAACATTTGAGCTGTCACAGTGGTGAATGTAAGGTCACACCCCAAAACAGTGAAACCTGATGTTAATAAGGGTCAAGAATCTAAATTTCTTTTCTTCGATAATAGTTATCTGCAAATCATCCTTCCTGACCATAGGTGATGGAAGTCAGAAGCAAATTCTGGTACTTTTATTCAGCTATAACAGGATCAAGTCTTTACATTAGTAAAGTGACATCCCCAGTACTAAGTTATGAAAAATCTACTTCATGAGATATGGGATTCTCAGGGTGGTAAATATTTAGATTATGGTTTTCAGCACCATGACAGCCTGTAGTTTGGTAAACAGGTAACAACATTTCTGCACAAAGATGGAGCCAACAACTTCCTCTGAAATACTGGTACCTAAATACCATATTACACAGCATCACAGCCCTTCATACTGTAAGCCTGGTTTAATTTATGTCTATTCACATGTATTTCACTCTTCTAGCCTGTCTGATTATTGTACACAATGGTCCCTTTCATTTGTTCTGCTGGATGCAAAATATCTGCGATTTCACTTACTGCTATTCTTAGCCAGTGTGTACGGCTGATGCAACAGTACAACACTCAAAACTATTCATTATTTCAAATGAAGTAATCATACAGAGAATGTTTGAACTCTCTGACTGCCAATCCCCACCACCAAACTACCTGCAAGAAATGTCAAGATTCCTTGGGGGTAAATAAGTTGCAGAGGAATATTCACAATATTTCCTTCAAATGGCCTTCGAACAATATGTATATTTCATATGAAAACCCACTGTTTCTTCTGAACATTAGAATGTCACAATTGAGAGAGAAATTCTGTATTAACTGCTTAACAATAAGTGTGTCTCTTCAGGTGTGGCAGTTTTAATACTGATCTAGTTGGTATATGGTACATTAAGGAACAGATTCAACATGCTTCAGTTACAAAAACTGTAATGTGATTCCTTCTCATACTGGAAAATTATAACAACACTGTTTACTTCTTCATGTTCTTGTTATTTCAAAGCATAATTTGCAGCATTATTGTACAGCAATTCTTTTGTTTATGATACTTATGAAAACAAAACACAGTAACAGAGAACTGCAGCAAGAAGCATAAATTATCAATTTCTTGTCAAACAGTTATGTAACATAATAATGACAATTAAATCAGAAAGAAGTACCTAACAAATGGGTAAATAAATTCATGTTACTTACGAAAACCCTTCATAGCATTAGATTAAATAACACAGTTATATAACAACACATGGATATAAATTCTGTAGAGTTCAATATTAGAGCTAGACTTCACCTGCAAACATAATTGTCGACTGTGAGGTTTGAGACACTCATAGCAGTGATTATGAAGATCAATATCCTTAGCAGTGTGGCACCTTGTAATCTGACATGAAGCTACCAATACACTGGAGGAACCTGCCACCTCTTCAGTGTCCCTGAAGTAGTAGTCATCAGACTCCTCCAAAACTTTGGTACCTCTCTACCAGACAACAAGACTCCACATCCCAGATAACAATCACCTAAGTCTCTGTCATGGAATTGTTTTACTAGGGCACACTCCACCGATAACAAGCCTTATGAGAGATAAGATGTTCTCACTGCAATGAATATCAAGTTAACAGTCTTCTGGAATGTAACAACATACCCTTCCACAGCCAGGCACAAATATTTCACAGAAACACAATGCCTTCATCTTCCTTCTCGCCTGGATATGGAAGCAGCAGGTTTCTTTAAAATTTCGGTACCTGCTCAGTGTATTACATGGCGTCACATTCTAAAGGACCGTAATCTTATAGCATTCAATGCAGCAGTGAGAGGACAGACCAGATTGCACTAGTAGCAGAAATCTCCTACTTACTCTGTGGAGAGAATGTACCAGTACTGCTACCAGGACCACTACTACTATATTTTAATTCTATCAACTGTCTCTAGAAGATGTGACCAAGATGTAGAGCTACCTTATAAACGTACAAAGGTGAGAACTGCATCATGCTTGCATTCTGTTCATCTTCCCGTTAAGACCTCCGATATACTTACATGACAAAGGTCAATTTTTCATTTTCTTTTTTGCAATAATAGCAGACACGCCAACTATCCTTTTTTTTTTTGTACATATAAATTTAAAGTTATAAACATGGACACTAATTATAGTACTGTTAAGATTTTCAGTCTCACGAGTTACTTGAATGTTTTTACATGTACGAATTATGTTCTCTGTATCATCAAATGTACATTTCACTAGTACAGAAGTTAACATTCATTGCTGTTTAGTCCATGGGAATTAGTAAACCTTAAATCCCAGAAGAATGCTTAATCTTGTATGGATAATCTCAATATCTCTGATGTCACTGCCCCGAATGCAGTTTCAATGCATATTTTTCTTCTCTTTGGAGGAAGGACGACAAATCAATCATACTGGAGGAAGAGCCCAGAGCGTGGATGTCTTGTCAGCACTGGTGCTCAGAAATGAGAACTCCGTTGGGTGCCAGCGCCCAGAGATAACCTTATCTTGGTGCTGAGCAACAACAACACTTGGTAAAGGCATCGTCAGGTCACCTATAGAAGAGAAAAATGTACCAAGTATGGAATGAATGTTGGGCATTTTCCAAATTTTTACCCTGCATATAGTCATCATCCAACTGTGGCTGTAGCAACTCTTGCACTGCAATAGGCAGTTTTGAGGTCAAACTATAACAGAACATTATCTTGCATTGCACTTGAGAGTCTTGTGGCCAAACTATGGAATATTAACTAGCATTGCATTTGAGAGTTTTAAGGCCAAACTACAAAATATTACCTTGCATTGCATTTGAGAGTTTTAAGGCCAAACTACAGAACATTACCTTGCACTGCACTTGAGAGTTTTAAGGCCAAACTACAACAGAACATTACCTTGCATTGCATTTGAGAGTTCTGAGGCCAGACTACAGAACACTACCTTGCACTGCACTAAGCAGTTATGAGGCCAAACTACAGGACATTACCTTGCAGGTCAGTGAGCACCAGTTTGTTATCATAGCCCCCTGTAAGGAGATAGTAGGCACTGGGAGAGAAGCGGATTGAGCGTACATCCGATGAATGCGGTTTGAAACACTGCACATTGCGACCACCTCTGATATCAAACAGGACACAGGAAGAATCCTCATGGCCCGACACCAGGAGCCGTCCTGATGGATCTACGCACACAGCTGCCACAGGAGAGCCCTATGAAATTAGAACAGTGGAAGCTTGTATTGCCAGGTCTTCACTTTACTGGAAACTGGTGTCACAGCCAACTTACCGAACCATGTTATAAGCCATCACTAAAGTGAATGGATAACCAGGTTCATATCTTGACAATGGCATGATTGTTTCCTGAGGTCTATACAGCTTAATATCCGCCAGGTACCAGAGGTTCTTTCGCTACGAGTACGATGACTGCAATATGAACTGATCACTCATTTCATGCCCTGGTAAAGCATATGTGAGACTTTGCCTCTAGTTTATGATAAAAAGAAATATAAGTGCAGGAAGAAAATACTTTGAAATGTTACGGCATGGTCTCATATGAAAAGCCCATGTCTCTCTGTACAATGACTCATAATAGTACTGCATGAGATTACGGTAACACAGTGTGCCAACAGAGTGCTACACATACATGGCCTGAAGATAGTGCTGCTAGTAGATGTATCTACCAACAACAGTCTCTCTGTCATCAGTTGTTGCCACTTTCATAAGAAAAATCCTTAGCTATGAAAATCTTCTTGAAACCCGTACTTCACGTTTCCTCGATACTGCATGTTATGATTAGATTGTGAGTATATGCAACCTCCAGTTCAACATAAGATTGAACTGGTGTACCACATAACAGTACAGAAATTCCCAGTGGCCCTTTGTGCAGTTTATTACACTTACATTTGGCCTGTCTGTTCATTTACATCCGTAAGTAGGTGGACCTTCATTATGGGCCAATATGGATCAAAACTGGAACTGTTTTGAAGTCCCTCCAATCAAATTTAAGCAAAAAAAATAGCTATCAGCTTAGGAACCAATACTAGGTCTCCACATAAGGCATCTGGTTTCATTTCATAATTTTATTTTTCTTATTTATTTAAAAATTGGCAATGCCTTATGTTACCTGCCATCAAATGGTAGGAATGTTAGTGAATAATGAATTCTACCAGGAGTCACGGCATAGCCCAGGCAGTACCCCTCATATTACTGAAGGGACTGTGGACGACAATGAAAAACCTCACTCACTACAGCAGGAAAATGGGTAGAGTTTATTAGCAAAGAAAGCTTATTATGTAATGCATGACAACACTGCTCTTCTCCATTACATCATGTAGCATGATAAGTGGATAACAGCGTTCTGGAGGAACATACTGCCTCCATCTTCAGGGTGAACCCAAATGAGAACAATCCGATTCTGCAATACCACGAAAACCTAAAACATTACAAACATAAGGAACAACCGTAAAGCACTTCACTGTATGATGACCACTGTACACTAGCATGTAACACTGTGTAGTGTAGCTGTTTGTTACCAACATTTCAAAGGAACAGCTACTTCCATCCTCTGGGCTTCAAATGTTATGTCATGTAGTCTGTTAGGTCACTACCAACATTCTGGAGGTAAAGACAGCATCTTCCTCTAAAACAGCAATAACGCTCTACCAGACTACACGACGTCACACCACAGAAGACCGTAATCTTCACGCTCATGCACATGACACTCACCCGACTGCCAGGGGCCGTAGCCGGGGTCACCATATTCACACAGCCACGAGTTCGAAGGTCCCAGAATCGAACTGTCTTGTCTTGAGAACCACTCACAAACATGGCACCACCCCAATTGTACAGCGTCAACACATGTCCTGCACACAGAGTAAAATCTTAATTACATGAGCGACATAGCAGAAAACCATCCTAATACCTCTTGAGGCCTTTCAGTAAGCCACTAGAGAACCATAAGTCAGAGACGAGGCCCCAAATGTGTGATAATGCACTGCCTGGTCAGGGTTATTGCAAACCTCTGGTAGTGGTGACATATGAATATGCAGTAATAGCGAAACCAGCGAACTCACAAAGCAAACTGGCCGAGCCCTCCTGCACCATGGTTCCTTGCCCCTGCACTTACCTGAGTGACCACTCAGAGCTTGAAATGGGGTTCCCGTAGCACAGTCGGTAACATATATCTTACAGTCCCCAGCACCTCCACTGATCAGGAGGCTGGACTTGTTGCTGGTGTCCTCCAGAAAGCAGAGGTCCCTCACTGTACCATCATGCATCGTCAGCTCAATCTCTTGGCCTGCAAGAAAATCGTCAAGATAAATTAAAGCCAGGCAGTTCTGCAATACCATTATTAACCTCCCAGCAAAAACATTAAAATCATTTTCGTTGTGAGGTTTGATGCAGTCAGAGCAGTGACTATAAACACTATTTGTCTCCTGAGATGTAAGGCTAACAAGGCCAGTGCCCACGTATCGGAGGATACTGTTGCCTCCATCTTCAGGACAGAAAAGTGGAAAGATGGATGGACCAGGTTTTTCCAAAACATTGGGTAACTACTGACCAAACTGCACGGTATCATTAAGTGGGTTAACACAGCAGTAAGCTCTAATACTCATATTCAAGAGACACCAAGTTCCAATCTCTGTCGGGATATCAATTATCCTGAGGTTTTTGTGGTATTCCTCAGTCCCTCCAGGAAAATTGAAAGAGTACCTCAATCGGGCCATGACCGCTTCCTTCTGAATCCTTTCCATTTAATGAACATCACTACCACTCAAATTCTACACAGTGCAGATACTGACGGATTCGTACAATAAGTGACAAAGAGTCAAGGTGTCATATCCCAGAAGGACCCTACCATCGCCGGCATAATTTCCACTTTACATCAACTAAAAAATATCTTGGACATGTGGTACAACTATCTGTACAAAGTGGTTGGCCATCTTCTGCAGATATTGTTAGTTGCTCTTGGCAAGAAATGGAGTGGCGAACTTCACACTCAAGCCATCCCACGGGGAAAGACATGCTGATACCGAGAGGCTCAGTGGGCCCCAGGGCTGGTCCGAATGCTGTAAAAAAGAAACATCCCTGTCAGGAATCAAAACTTAGTCATCATGCTCATAGCAGGCAAAGGTTTATGCCTGCTTCCTGACTGGCTTAGGTAGGTCGCATACCAGCATGCGTAAAGACATGTAACAGTCAAGACACGATGTCTGCGACATGACGCAAAGAAAGGAGCACAATTGAAACGAATGAGATTATGAAAACCGCCGCACTCCAGTCTGAGTCATGATGCTGACGAATCACGAATGAAGCAAGAGTGGGTCTTTTGTCTCATGTCTTGATGCTTGTCTTGACGCAGTTGGTGTGCGGTCACCCTTACTCTTCAAAAGCGAAGATGAAGGCAGAACGTTCCTCCAAAACATCAGTGAATTTCTACCAGACTGCACAACATCACATTCAATAAAAACCTCAAGGTGTCAGAAAGTCATCTGGCCCCAGCTGACCCGCAGTTCGACAAAGGAAAACAGGAATACGTTACCTTCTAAATTTGAAGTGTCTGTGTTAAACCGCATCAGCTTAACCGTCTTGTCATTACTGCCGGTTGCCATCAGATCTCCAATTGGCGTCCATGCCAGGCAGTAGATGGAGCCCTTGTGGTGCTTGGTGCGCTTGAAGAGTACTGTTGGTTGGTACGCTGCGTGGTCCTCCCTGAAGCAACATGAAACTTGCAGCGTAAGTTACAAATAGGGTTCCATATTTTACTGTCTCCTGATTAAGGAAACAAACACTTTCCTAAAGGCCGTTGCTTGAATAAAAAGTCCCAAACGTGAGCCAAAACACTGATACTTAATGTTATACATCAGCATCCGAGTGCACATCCGTCTGTAATGCAGACACAACGTTTTATTTTAAAATGCCATTTAGATTTAGATTTTCTGTTTATTTGCTGCAACATGTTTCGGCCTCACAAGGCCATCATCAGGCAACCGTTAACTGATCGAAATCAATGGACTGCATGAGCCCACATGGCAATATATTTGCATGCCATTATTTCGATTTTGACCGATTAACGGTTGCCTCATGATGGCCTTGTGAGGCCGAAACATGTTGCAGCAAATAAACAGATAACGTAAATATAAATTGCACTTTAAAATAAAACGTTGTGTCTCCGTTACAGACGGATGTGAGTGAGTGATTTTCAGTTGTTTACCGTCCACCGTGTAACAGTATCAAGATTTAAAGTTAAATCCTTTCAAAATTCATTAAAATAACATCCACACTGCACATCTGATAGGCAACAAAGTAAGGAAAAAGGTAAAGCTATCCCTGTAACGGGCGGTGGAGGCCCATAGGGTTGTGAGACCTCCAGGTTCCCACATTTTATAGACAACTGGCTCACATGTGGCGGTGAGGTTGTGAGCCTTACGCGCCGGCCGCCATTTAGCCCCAGGAAGATTCCTGGTACTCATTTCTGTTAGAGGCTGAGTCAACCCCAGGGCCATAATTCGGCTGCAAGGGTCAGGTAAACTGAAAAAATTCACCTTATCGGGGCACGAAACCGCGACCTTCCGGCTTGTTGCATAGTTCTCTCCCCCCCAAATTTCTGCGCACCTGATGATGGCCGCGCAGGGCGAAACATGTAAGTGCAGTGACGAATTTTAAAGAAATGATCTAATTTCAAATCTTAATGTTGTTGCATGTTGGACGGTAAATAACTGTGAACAGACTGATAATTAGTTGATTGACCAGTTTCCTTCTCAGGCAGCATCGCGCACCTGCAGAATTACCGAGATTAGAGAAAGTTGTGTAACTTCACAGTCAGTAATCTGCTTGGAAATCGGTTCAGTGCGTGGTGACGCATGTCGAAAGCAGTCCGTCTGTCCGTCCGTCCGTCCGGTTCGACAACTTTCTCTGCATTAAGCGCATCGGTAAGGAACACGGCGACAGCCAAGCGGTTTCATTTTGCAGGCCGCTCCACATACGGGTGCACTACTGAGGAATCTATGCATACACGTGGAGCCACGCCATTCTGCCAAGTGTGGCTTTCCGACCCACATTTTGTATGCATTTCTCGTAGCTTTCACGCGTGCTACGTGCACATCCTTCCTTATTTGACCATTCTCACAGTATCTGGCTTACTTAATTATAGAATTGAGCCCTTCAGAAGCCAATTCTGCAGCTACTCAAGAATTTCCCAGCATTTTATGGAACCCGAAAGTTCATTACCGTGTTCACAAGAGCCCTCCACTGGTCCCTATCCTGAGCCAGATAAATCCAATCCATTCCATCCCATCCTATCTCTCTAAGATCCATTGTAATGTTGCACACCCACCTCAGCATCTTGTTTCGAGTACAAATTATGAAGGCTCTACATTAAGAATTTCTTTGCGGACTTCTCTCATTCCCTCCTCCAGCGGGTGCACGTATGTGGTGGTCCGTAACCCACAGGATGCGAACCACTGGTACATATTCATTACACGTGCGCTCCTGGGCATACAACCCAGGGGCCAGACTACAAACATGTAGGGTAAAAAGATAAACTATCCCTATAACAGGCCGTGAACGCCCATAGGGTTGTGAGACGTTGAGACTCCCAAATTTTCTCTAAACAATCAGCTCACAGATGGCGGTAAGGTTATCAGCCTCACGCACCGGGCGCACTTTTACCCCCAGGAAGATTTCTGTTAGAGACTGAATCGACCCCAGGGCCACAGTGCGGCTGGAAAAATTAGGTAAATTGAAAAATCCAATGACGTCATCGGGAATCGAACCCGCGCACAGTGCCCCCTACGAATATGACATCCCACGAACGCTTGCCCATACCTGAGATCTGACAGTTTCGGGTAGGAACAGATGCGCAGGGTTTTGGAGTTGGACCCAACAGCGTACAGCTTGCCCTGTGGATGGAACTCGGCGCACCGTACAGCCTGGACATCTTCTAGAGACGTGACGGCCACGAACCGGGGTCTGCCGGCCCCACCTCCACTGCCGTTCACCTCTGCATCAGCTCGGTTCACTGGCTGCAAGCAACAAGACAGCTCACGTCAAGCAAATGTATACAGAGCGTCTGAGGGGCTCCCTGTGCTTGTACTTGGAGCTGACAATCGGGAGGGACGTAGCAGACCAACAGCCTGACAGGTCTGCATCGTGCGTGGAAGTTATCCAGGGTCTGGGTGTTCAGGGACATATTGTTAAGTTTTTATTTTTCAGCTCCTTCGGATGGGGTGAGACTGAGTCCACTTGGTACTGCAGCTACTAATTGGCCTATTGTATCAGCCCTGGATGGTAAACGAGTATGCAGCAGCTGGAGGAACGAGAATTAGCAGGGGAACCGAAAATTACTAGGAAAGAACAGGTCCCAGTGTCATTTTGTCCACCACAAACTCCAAATACACTGACCTGGGCTGCAACCCGTGCCGCCGCGGTGAGAAGCCGGCAACTACCCGCCTGAGCTACGGTGCGGGCCTAATTTGGTAAGTAGCAAACGTCGTGAAGTAAACAAAGGCAAAAGAATTGCTACTTTCCGACCAACTAAAGTCTAGGACCCGCCTAGAGAATGCTTAAAAATTCAGTTCCTACCTCACATAAACCACCGAGTCGCCATTACAATTATCAAACTCGCTCTGATAGATCGCAAACATTTCCGAAAAACCTCAGGCCTCCATATTCTACCCCGATGATGGAAGCAGCAGGTTCCTTCGAAATGTAGGTGGTACCTACCCACTAAAGTACACCGCGTCACATACCAGAAGTAGCAGCAGTCACAAGCTCATATATAACACTATTATTATTATTATTATTATTATTATTTTGCAGTTCCTGCTTGACTTGCCTTACAACTCTGAACATTCCTTCTACTTCTTCTGTTGGTTATTTAACGACGCTTTTCAGTATCGAGTCTATGCAGCGTCGGGTGGTAGGATGTCATGATAAATGGGAAAGAAACAGTAGTGGCCTACTCGAGGTGCTATCGTATTTTGCCTGGAAGGACTGAGAACAACCATGACAAAATCTCAGTCAAGAGAGCTGGTGTCCCGGCCGGAATTCCAACCAAATGCCTCCCTAATGCTACGCCACCCTACGCCGTCCGAATCATTCAAGATAACAGAGCTCTCACAATGGCAAAGTACAGTACTTGCCCCACATCGCGCGCTGAGCGTCAGCTGTTCCCATGGACACTTCCGCCAGTCATCTGCTGCCACCACGCGGTCTACTTACGGAATCCGGGGCCCTGAACGAAACAGACGACACGATAAGGCAAAGCTATCCCTGCAACAGGCCGTGGAGGCCCATACGGTTGTGGGACGTCGAGGCTCCCACATTTCCTAGACACCTCAGGGCCACAGTGCAGCTGGAAGGTCAATTGAAAATTCCAATGACCTCATCGGGAATCGAACCCGCGACCTTCCGGCTTGTAGTACAGTGCCTCAACTACGCTACCGCGTGCCCCAAGAGATTGTCTTCTGGAATGTGGCGCAGTGTAAACTGATTTATTATTATGGATAACATGTAGAATCACCGCTTCACCTATCATCACTTAATGCCAGATACATATAAGGGCTTCCGAAATAATCCTGAAGATGGCACCAGTAATGATGTCGAAACATTGTAAATTATGTAACATTTAATACGGCGTATTCTCGAAAGCCAACATCATACATGAAGCTCAAGAAGCGGTAACATAAGGATAAGAATTACAGAGATCCCCCCCCCCAAATGTATACCCGCTTCGCTGTACAGAATATCGCCTTGACTACTGTATTGGTGCACCTTCCGTTAACCTCTGAAACGTCCGTAGATAACTTCTAGTAAAGTCTGTTACAGTGGCTATTTAGGTGAGCCGGGATAGCGCAGTCAGTATAGCGACTGGCTACGGGCTTGATCGAGGGGTCGCAGTTCGAGTCCCGGTAAGGTCAAGAATTCTCACTTCTCCATGTCGTTCAGACCGGCTCTGGGGCCTATCCAGTCTATTTAATGGGTACCGGAGGCTCTTTCCACGGGGGTAAAGCGGCCGAGGCGTGAAGCTGACCACTCACCCCCAACCAGGGCCGAGGTCAAGAAATGTGGATATATACATCCACTCCTCCATACGCCTTCATGACGTAGTGCTTAATTAGTTAAGCACAGGGACAACTTTAGTTACCTTTTACAGAGGCTAACTACGGATATTTTCAAAGCTGAACAGAAGCTATACAAATAAAATTACTTAAGCAGATATTTTGTAGGTCCGTTTCTGTGGTCTAGTGATTAAGAGTTCCTGCCTACAGATCCAGAGGTCCGGGTTCGATTCCTGGCGCTACATGATTTTCTGGTCTGGAACGGGGTCCACTTAGCCTAGTGACGATAACTGAGGAGCTATTTCAAGGAAATAGCGGCTCCGGTCTACAAAACCGAAATTAACGGCTGTGGGGATCCGTTGCGCTGACCACGCGACACCCTCTATCCGCTAAAGTTGGCATTAACTTCGCAGAGAAGCGGTGGTCGCTCGGTCGGTATAATTCGCTTGCGGACTACAGGCCACAGTTTATTTTGTACACTGAAGTGTCAAAACTTCGGTGACGACATCATCATCACCATCATCATCATCAGCTCGCACAGAACCAGTCCGTTTATGCCGAATCATCAGACCTCACAAAATGACAAATCAAAAAGAAAAACTCTCTCTAAACCGTCGGAGCACAGAAAAGCAATTCCGCCTTTCACAACAGCCTGAGGAGAGATCAGCAAACATGAGGTGACGCCATGAAGTCTGGTACAAGTTCTTTGACGATTCTGAAGAACTTGTAGGGCCGGAGGCTGCTTTTTGTTTCTTACAGGTTGCTTGCTTGGCTCACTCTTCGACCCTGAAGACGGTGTCAATACGTTCCTCCGAAACATTAATAAACATCCATGACGTCTGTAGTGTGTGAACCTGTGGGCCTTCATTTGCGGGTCGCGAGGCCCACCGCCAGTGAAAGCTGTCTCACCGACAGAAGGACGATCGCCTCTCCTGTAGTTCGCAATCACAATCACCGATTGGTGCAAGATCACATATTTTTTTATGCATGAAAGAGAAAGTATTTTGACATGTATGCTCCTCCGTGGTATTTATATTATCCGAGGCGATTATTTGATGAATGTACGTGAAATGAGAGGCGTTTGCTACGCCCGCCAAGTGACAGCGAATGTTTCATTAACCTCTGCACCGCAGCCACAACTTTCTTTCTCTGGTAAACGTCAATTTACTTTCGCCAAGAGATAACGCCTGTGGAGCACAGACCTTGTAGACCAGTGGTTCTCAACTTCTGTGAGCCCGCGGCCCGGTAAATTCTTTTTTGTTTTATAAGACCAGGGCCCGGTGGTTGAGAAACACTGCTCTAGACAAGCTAACAGTCCCTGAGCTGGTCAAGACATTCCCTACCTTATACGAAACTCAAAGGTCCATTACCGTGTTCACAACACCAGACTTAAGTTAATTACAAATAACAGACTTTCCCATGAGAAGCAGACAGTAGCTGAGTTGGTCAAGAATTTCGTTGCCTTTATGCAACCAGCAGGTTCGTCACAGTATCGAACTGAGGCTCTCACAGCAAGAAGAGTACTATGTTCTATACGTGACGCCATTCAGTGTGGTACAAGTTTACCGACATTTCGGAAGAAAATACAGAAAAGGAATCCACAGAGAACACCCAGGACAACACGAAGGGTTTCTCCTCAAACTGACTAGGTAAGTGTCAGAGTTACTTTACCGCCAATCAGTTCGTCATGACGACAAGCCCCTTGAGACACACGACCAGTAATTTTACTTTCCAACTGAACACTTGCGGTTATAGTCCTTATGTAACATCCTCTCTGACGAGTCCCGTGGGACTCACGACATTTTACTGTCCCAGATTCGAGACTCCCCAACCTGGAGGGTCAGGTCCACGTATTTATATCCCCCCAGGAAGAGGGTGGCCCAGTTATAACCCCAGGCACTGGGTTCCCTTTTCGTCACCTCCTCCGGCTCGCAGGGCTACGGTGGAGGTAACTAACCCCGCCTCCACACGGCCCCAACTCTTTCTTACAACCCCTTTGCACGGACCGAGTAAAAACACAGTAACTCTATTCTTGCAGATGCCTAGAAACGGGATTGCATAACACCGCTGTTTGTCTATTGCATAGCAACGGCTGCCCACGCTACAATATAACATAATTAAGACTGTTACAACTTCTTCGTTACAACAAACAGACATTAAACTCACGTCCCAATGTTAACTGCCAGGTGCTATACTTAAACTGTAGAGAAGTCAAAACTATATATTGAATGAATAAACAAAGGTTCCAGTGTTACTGTGCACACTAAACGAAACGTAAATGCGCGTGGCTCGATCAATATTTGCCTCAAACTCGTATTGTTGATAGACGGAAACATTAAAAATACGAAATAAATTTGACACGGTTTAAATTCCACACACACACACACACACACACTTTCGTTTGTTTGTTTTTCCTTAATAGCAACTGCGTTCATGAGGCCAGGGTTCACTGCTGAATATATAAGTCGAGAAATTTCATCATAACGTCCAGTCTGTTTACCTCGGAACCGCTAAGACTCACGCAGAAACTGCATTGTACATAAAATATATTTCACTTTTCTTTTTGCGGCCAAGTTTTGTTTGATGCGTGCTTTCTCTTCGTTTAATATTTAGCGCAGAAATGCACAAAGCTCTCTCCAGTAAACGTACCCGATCTAACTGAAAACTGGAGCTGCTTAACGAGTCTCTCGTAAAATTTCCCCAATATGAAATTTCATGAAAATCCCGTCGGACGGACAGGTGGACTGAGCAAACTTTATAAGCGCTCCACAGTGTGTTAAAGTTGTGAGTCTATCACTGATCGCCAAGTTTTCTAGTAACTGCATGGGCGGAGTAGGGAAATTTTCTTGGCCTCACCGTTTACCGGACCTCGGTTCATGAGATGTCTTCTGGAGGATAAGTAAAGCATAAAGCCTGACAGAAACTAACGTCGCTCAAACAAAAAAAAAATGATGACGGATTTA